AGTACATAAAGGTCTTTCGTACATATGTATATACGTATATATATATATATATAAATATATATATATATATACATATGTATCTGTATCTTTTCTCTGTACATACGTATATAAAGATTTATATACATGATCACATGTATATATTGTGGGCGAGAGAGGACGTGTCTCCGTTCCCAAAAGCCATAACCTTGAATAGGGTTTGGTTGTTTGGCGTAGATGGGTGGCAGATGATCAAAACTAGAGATGGTTGGTTGGCCGTGCAACTATGTTTTTGGGCACAAGCGATGCCATGAAACCAATACCAGACAAAAAACACTGGTCACTGGTTCTCAAAGACACATAGCCCCTAACCCAAACAGGACTGAAGGGTACGGATTCGCTGACAGTTATTTTTCAAAGCTCCTACTTTCAGAATATAAAGATGGGTGGCCAACCTCCAAGCCGTTGAAGGGATGACCTGATCCACCGAACACATCACCGAACTCAGGGTACTGCTGAGAAGAGTCTGTGGCTGGGAATACCGGTTGCGCAAATGCCATAACCGCCTTGGTAGGAAACATTAGTCGTGTAGGAAAAAAATGCTAGTACAGGGATTGGTGCCCAGAAAGCCAACACTAAGCACTAAAACCTGCAAAAGGTGATTAGGCCTCCAGACCCGACGGCATAGTCAGGTATATTGTGTGGCAAACCAAACGCCCAAAGGGAGATGGTGGGTGGCAAACCACTTGCTCCCCAGAAACTCTAATTATGTAAGAGATGATCTGTGGCAAAAGGACGTACAAGGTGGCCAACCTCTTTCATAAGCCCTGAACGGAGTGATTGGATCCGGAATGATAATCAAATTTGGGTGGCAAACCAAAAAAATCCAGCTGTATAACGGGTGGCAGCCTTTCACCCCACAAGGTGTTACTGGGACATGAAAACCTTCATAAGCCCATGTCCAAGTAAATGCGGGGAATCGGGCCGCGACTGAGGAGTTCTTAGAGAAGGTGACAGTTGACCAAAACTCCTCCAACACAACCCGAATCAATCAAGATAGGTCTGCATCCAGACCAAAAACGCTCCAAAACCTCTCAAAGCGATCAAACCCCGAACGTATGTATGTATGTATATATATATATATAATGTATACTTTTTGGCACTCGCACTCGACCAAGTATATATATATATATCATATCTAATAAAGACATGTATATTTCTCCTAACCTCTAGAACACACATGTGTTTGTATATATATATATATAATATACATATATACACACACACGCATACAACTTATAGAGATTGCTTTTTTCCCCGCTTCTCGCCCTGCCAGAAGCCGCTATAGAGATTGTTATGTGGAGGTATGTGTCTGAAATCACACGCCGAAGAAGCTTAGATAGCCAAGAACCGTTGCAAAGTACCGAAAAAAAAGTGGGCCACCAGGGCGTTCCACTCGCAAATTTTCAAGGTCAGGCTTCATCTGGATTTTGAGACATCCGAACTTGAGGTCTAAAGATTCCGAGTTTTGCAGTTCACAACTTTGACCAGGAATCTTGACAGCCATCCATCTCCATCCGCAAATTTAGAAGCTGTCCTCGAAAGGCCGGATGCTGGAAAGGAGGCTCTTGATCTCTGCAGCCGCCCGCTGCCGCTCACGGTTCTCCTGGGGCATTTTGCAAGAACGACCAATCCTACAGGTGGTCATGAACAACCACAGCAGCAACTGCTCAAACATCTTGTCAAGAACACTCTGTGCGACCTGAACTCGCAAACACTTCCCCGAACACTCCTTCCCACACTGAACCAAAAAACATACACATATGTGTGATCCCAGCTCGGCCTCTCTTCCCTCACCCTTCCCCACCCCCCAGTGGTTGATATCCCCTCGCCCCCCTGTGGCGTGATTATCCCGCCCCCCTCTGTGGCGTGGGGTGGCGTGGTTTGGGGTTTGGGTCTGCTTGGAGTGGCTCCCCTCCCGACCCCTGCGGTGTGCCGTGGTTGGCGGTTTGGGTCTTCTTGGGGTCTTTGACATTATCATTTCCATCATGATCATCATCACCATCATCATCATCATCAGTGGCTCGGGGTTGGGGCTTGCTTGGGGCTGCCTCCCCTCTGATGCAGTGTGGTTCGGGCTTGGGTCTGCTTGGACTGCGGTCTGGTGCAGCTCGGGGTATGCGTCTGCTTGGGTGGGGTTGGTGTCATGATCATGATCATGAATCATCATCATCATCATCACCATCACCTCCATCATCATTATCATTTCTTGGGTCAGCTGTCACAGGAATCGGGTCTGTCAGGAACGCGATCCTCGTCACAATCTCGCCATATAGGAGAAGTGCGCAAGTCAAAGGGAGTCGGCTTGTTTGGATCCGGGTGTCGGGGGGGGTGGGGGGTGGGGTCGGCGAACGAGAACGGGATTATACATACATATATGTATATATATATATATATAGACATACCCATTCATATACATGTAATTAAACAGAGATGCACCAGCCCTCAGCCGTCCTTGGAGTCGTCTTGGATCACATCCTTGGCCCGCAGCTGCCCGCTCGGAGGTCGGTTCGGTCGCCTTCGCAGGGAGTCGGTCTGCCTGGATCCGGACTCCGCCTGGCGAAAACAGAACTGTCGCGGTCTATACTCTCGTCGTCTCTTGGTATTGCGAGGAGCCTCGGCGCTGGCCCAGTATCAACAGACCAGCTAGTTGTGACGAGATAGGGCGAGAGCTAGGAATGCATTGGTTTTAATAGTCTTTCTCGAAGTTGAGAAAACCGAAGATGCTACCAAAACCAGAGGCACGGCAAAGCACCCCTAGTAATGCTTAACTTCGGTCGGGAGCTGAGCATCAGGATGCATCGCCTGATTACCGGTAACAGCAGACAACAGGGAAAAATCTCAGATTTCCTCAGTTCGAGGTCTGAGTTTTGGAAACCTGGGCCTGGACAGAGGGCTTGGCTTCGCAGTACTCCTTGTAGTAATCCAGGAAAGCAAAATGATAACCTCGAAGCTCCTCGGAGTTGACCTGAAGTGGAGAGCCAAGTCTTGGGGAGAAGAAAGGGCTGATGGGGTTGGCGCGAGGCTTACGGAACTGTGGGACACTCTTGAAAGCCCTTTCCGCCTCCTGCGCCTCACCTTTGGAGGCTTCAGGTATGCTCCCCTCCGGCAGGGACTCCAAGAGCTTCCTGGATGGATACTCGTCGAGGTTTGTCCCTGCATCGGCTCCCTCTTCAATTGGGTACTTCACCGTGCCCTGCTTGGAAGATCGCGAACTTGACGACTTCTCGCTGGAAGTCTTGTCCAGGCTTCGCACCTCGAGCTCGTGGGAGTCATGCACGCTGCTGGGAAGCCCCAAAGCCTCCATGCCTGGTCGCTGCTGCGTCACTAGCGTGTCCCGGATCAGGGTGGTGAATGCCTCCATCTCCTCAGCTCCAGACTCACCGCTGTCCTCCTCCTCATCCTCCACACTCCTCTGCGGCGATTCCTTCTGTGTCACCTTCGGGGTAAGCATTTGGCGCGTGAACTCCAGTGTGTGTTTCTTGTTTGCTTGAATCCAGTGGTCCTCGAGGAGGGTTGCAGCTCCAGCACGGTGCAACGGGTTCTTCTCGTAGCACCGTAACAGGAATGCGTCGAGAGCTTCAGAAAAGCCCTCTGGCAGGGGCGGGTGATTGTCGGATACAATGCGGTAAAGAGCCGACATCTGCGGCAAATCTGCATACGGTGGCTTCTCTGTGATCATCTCCACCACTGTTGACCCCACACTCCAAATGTCGCTGGCAGGTGTGGGTGGGCTCATCTCAACCGTCTCCGGTGCCATCCAGTAGGGCGTACCGACGACGCGCCGCTTTGAGCTGTCGATCTCGCTTAGTTTCGTTGCCACCCCAAAGTCGGCCAACTTGATGATCCCAGTCTTGGTCGTGAGGACATTCGCACCTTTGATGTCTCGGTGAATAACGCCTTGGGAATGCAAGAACTTCAAGCCTTTCAGAATTTGCAGCGTGTAGATGGCGCACAGAGACTCTGGGAAAGCTCCGAACTTCTTTATGATGGCGGCGATGGATCCACCCTCTACAAACTCGAGAACAATGTTCAAGTGGGTGTCAGTCCGGATGGAGTCAATGTACTTCACAATATTCTTGTGCTTCAGCTTGGACAGCAAGTTAATCTCTACCTCGTGCAATGGCAACGCTTTTTCTTTGCATGTCTCTTATACAGTTTCGTCCAAATTGACCCTTTGCTTACGAAGACTGGAGAGTGCTAGTCATATGACTTTACATGTGCTACGTGTTTAAAGATGATTGCAGGATTTTCCATTACGGAAAGGTCATAGCCTTTATGATTTTCAAAATCAAAATCGGCCCGAGAGAAAGCGGGCACGGGGTACAGTTGGAGGAGAGGGCGTCCAGAATGCCAGAGAGGCTGGACATGTGCAAACACACGCTGTGCTTTTGAACAAACTAACTGTTGGAAACTATGGCCTCCGCCAAAGGATCCAAACTCGTACAAGTATGTAAACCTGACCCGAACCCAGAACTGTTCCTCTCTCCGACCCTGCTGATGACAAGCGTTGCAAGAGTAGGTGGAAGATGGCCGTGTCTCGGACTGGACAAGCCGCTGATAGCCACTGTTGGCAATCGACAAATAGCTATCTTGTTGCATCACACTATCGTGCAATGATGCTTGTCTGAGACCAAGCCCTGATCACGAACTCAAACTATTTCATCCAAGGATGCCTCTATTTGGCTGATGTCACCGCTGTGCAAGCCTCCCAAGCTCACCTGCTTAATGGCCACAAACAAGGCCCTCTGCTGGTCCATGGCCTTGTACACCTCAGCAAGGGAGTCAGAGATGGCTTTGGGGACTGGTGGGATTCAGACATGGGGGTTTCCGAAAATAGGGGACCCTAATATAATATAGTACCCTGAATAATAGGATCCCTATTATAAGGACCCCAAAATAAGGTACCCCCGTATTGGATTCCGGAGGGTGCGTCGGGACATCTGTGCAAAACTATGCACCGCGCCACAACGCTAGCATGGACTACTCTGCGGGCGCCTCGCGCACATGCTAACCAATGGTCCTTTTGCTCCGAAAGCAAGAACTTCCAAAAATAAGTGCTTCTATCCTCTTTCCTTCCCTAACCTGTCTCGCAAAGCAATACCCCTTTCCAGGATCTCGAAGGATTGTTCCCAAGTCGCAAGTCGCCAGCTTGCCGTTCTATCCCGCAAAGGGTAAAAAAGGACGCCGGACACAGTGACTGCGGAAGCCAATTAACATCACCAGCAACGCAGAACGCAAAAAGATGCAAAAAGCATTTATGAAGTGCGGGTTGGCATATGGCCGGACCGAGTTGCGCAGCCAAAGCCGCCCTTGCCGATGGTGCCCCCGACAGAGTATGGCCCAATCAATGTTTTGGTGTTTGCCATGCCCTACGGGAAGGGCTCAAGTACTTCACTTCTTCCCCGAAGAAAAAAACCTAACACGCAATCTTGGATGGCCTTCATGCTTCGGCGTTCGGCGGACGCCATGTTGGCGACCTCCCCCAGCTTTCCGCGTGTCTACATCGAGCGTGATGTGGGCTTCCAGACCAACGGTTTGCTGTGCCAGTGTTGCTGAAGACTGTCTCTGCTACAGCAGCTTGCATCAGGGCTTGTGCCTTACGTCTCCGCGCGAGATCTGTGCAGGAGCTGTTGACTTATGTTGACGGGTTCGGGCTGAAGGCATCGCATTCACCTTGCCGGGCCTGGGGCATGACCTCCGGGTACGAGCTCTGCATGCGAGCCGACATGCAACAGCAGAGTTCTTGCAGCCCACATCTCGCCCCAACACAACACAGCACCCGCTTTTTGTGAAATGCGTCTTACTTGCTCAAGGGCCCTGGTATCAGACGAAGGACAGACCCTACTCCAGCACGATGGAATTATACCTACGAAAACCACAGTTTGATAAACGTGGGTGCCAGAGGGCCGCCCAACTTTCCCTCCATTCGCTACCTGCCGATATCTGTGAACCAAGCTGCTTTCCCATGCCCTCAGACCGCAAATCTTGCAAGGTCAAGTCAACCCCGCTCGCCCCCTGAATTTGAGCAGAGGTGCCGTCTGGCGAGCGGTCCGGCATAGGGCCGGACGACTTCTGGCAAGGAAACCGACAACTTCATTCTCCCTTCCATTAGATTCTACCTGTCTACGTCTCTACCTCTGTACTATATATATATATAATATACACACACACATATGTATATATATATATATATATATAATTATATATATATGTTAGTCGAACCACCTATCGATCTATCGATCTATCTACCAATCCATCTGTCTATCTTTCTAGCCATCTATAGAATCTATTGCTATCTGTGTGTGTGGGCGTGCCCATGTATGTGGGTGGGTGGATCGGTGTCGGTGGTAGAGGATCACGGGACTAAGAGTTTACAGTAGCTGTGAGGACTGCCGGCCATAGCACACCCCGACGTCGAATGACAAAGTGTAAACACATTAAGATGTAGCCCACACATGCCCATGGCCCAGACTGCAGGAACACACACCTCTGGCACAATCAAAAAGCCAACGTCTGCAACATGGCAGTTGAAAAGGGATATCTGAAGCCTTTCGCATACCCTCGTCCCGTCTCCCAGCTGCTCCTCCCAGGCATCCGTGCCCTTCGCTGCATCTGGGACATCACCTTGTCAGTTGTGTTTTTTTGGCGGTGCTTTTTCTTGCCACTCTGAAGATAACAAGCATCCGAGAACGCGACACACCCCAAGTGCTACTGCTAGGGTCTGTAAGAGTTCAGCCAAACTTTGACATGCGGGGGTTTCCGAAAATAGGGGACCCTAATATAGGACCCTAAATAGTAGGATCCTCATTATAAGGACCCCCAAAATAAGGTACCCTCCCCCCCCCTATTTTCGGAAACTCCCATGCCAGGCAGGAGAGACAGGCTTAGTGTTTTCGAGCACCCGCACGAATATGCGCCTATCGGAGACGCCATCGCGGCCGCTGGCGTTGGAGGCTCCTTTGCTTTGGTTGGTGGCTGCTGGCTGAAGACACCATATAATAAAGCATAATACCATATAGTATAATATGATATTAATTCATGTTTCAGTAGTTCGGGCTGCTCTGAGCTGACATCCTTTCGGCTCTCGCAGTCGCACGAGGCAGGCAGCCCAACACCAAACCCCCTGCCGTATCCTTTGCAACTGCAGCTGCGGCGCCTCTGAGGGTGTGTCCATGCTCTTCTTCGACTCATCCGGGTGATCACCTTGCCATCTGCAAGGAAGCTGGCGTCTCTCAGCCGAAACTCAACAACTCTGGGCCTGGATCCACGACGTGCCGCAGATGCGTGAAGGAGGAAGAACGACAAGTGCTAGACATTGCTGGGTATTTCAAGCAATGGGCACAGTTCCCAAAATTACCTCCAGAAGCAAGCCTCCCGGAAGTTGCATCTCTGCTGCCGATGGAAGTTCCAGCTTTGCTGTCTGCAGCTCTGCCTCGACGAGACCCAGGCCCGGATTTAACAGTAGAGGTCGGTGAAACACCGGAGGGCGAGAAGTGATTGCATGTGACTTTGAGGATCCCTGGATAAAGCGCCAGCCTGCACATCCTCGCCGCTGTGACCTTATTTGAGCCGGCTGAGTGCACACCTTGTCCTTGGGATGAAAATAGCATTGCTACAAGGAGCTGTCGAGCACCGGGGCCGTGGGCAGCACCACAGCAGCCTGCGAAGCTACTGGACATTGGATGCAGATTACAGCTGGAACGGTCTCAATGAATGGTCCGCCAAGCCTGTGTCGCGGCATTCTCGGCCGGGAAGACTTCCGTGGCATGAGGCGCGGCTGCAGGCTCTAAGCCTGAGGTCCCAGGCACGGCCCTTTGAAGCTTCGAGAAACTCCAGTCCTGGGGTGCTCAGGCGTGAACAGTCGGTGCTGTCTGCGGCCCGGGTGGTGATGTCTGCAGCATCATCCGACCGCTCCTGGCGGCGATAGGGGATTGGGCAGCCTGCAAAGTCAAGAAATCTTCTCGACGACTGAGCCACGAACCCAAGACACAGGTGGGCCCGGGAGCTGGCCGTCGACAGTCGGACCTCGTGGGAAAAGAAAAGACATCAAGTCGGCTCCGTACATCTTTGTTAACAAGTCCTTTGCTGCAGGAAGCTGCTAGGCAGGCGACTCTCTCGACTTGCCTAGCCGAGGTGCCCGGAGCCCTCTCGAAGTCCTCCGGGCCTTGCTTCTGGTCTCCCAGCTCCTTTTCAGCTTCACCTGGCCCGCCTGGTTGAACATGCCCAGGAAAGTCCTGCAGCTGTCCGGCTGTGCTGCAGACCCTCCCCTCAATCAAACTTCATCGGTGGTCCGCGCTCACCCTGATGGTGCTGACACACAGAGCAGCGAACCGATGTCCTGCGTGGTAGGGATTGCATCACCTCGGCTCAGGTACTTAAAACACATAGAACCTGTCTGAGTTACACTTTGCATTGCTATGGAAAGCCACATGGAGAAGTCAGAGCTCCGTCGCTCGGTTGCTGCTGCAGCCAGCGGAATGCAAGGACTGCAAAACATAACTAACATAACAGCTACTACCGCTTCTGCTGCTCTGCTACACTACTACAGAAAGAACGATGATTCCCCATGTAACTTGCTGGAAATGCAGCTTCAACAGTCAAACCTCAACAATCCGAATCAACGCGGTCACGAATCCCCAAGTAGATGCTCGGTACTGCGACCGCCGCCCCCGCCCCCTCCCCTTCAACGGGTGCTTCCCTCATTGCGGGGTGGGATCCGCAAAACATGATGCGACTTAGCTCTGCACCTGACGGGATCGCACATGACAGCTTAGCCAGGTCTTATAAGGATGCGTCCCACCAAGCTATGCTATAGCTGCTATATGGCTTTGGTTCCAAGGGACCCCTGGCTCAGTTAAACTCCAGTCTCTCTCGGGACGACCGGGCTCAAAATAACTGCAAAATGGATTTCGAGGGCTCAGCTCGCCCTCCACTGCAGTGGAACTCAGTGGACCGTCGAGATGGCTGCTATGGCGTAGGCTGCGCGCAACTTCTTCGACTTAGGGTCCATCTTCCTCTCTATGCCAGGCCTGCTTCGCTGGTGCAGCAAAGCCACCGTCCATGAACTTCAATCGCCGGCGGCAGTAGCGCACTCATGCACGAATGCTGCATGCGCAACTTTGTCGTGCTAATTCAGGATCCGTGTGGCTTCAACATAGCATGGGTGTGTTTGCGGGCATCATAAGGGTTGTCCGACAAAGGCTCCTGCTGAACATAATCTGTTGCCAAGCCTCCTGACGGCAGGTCATCTGACTGTTGCTTGCTCTCTGGAAGGTGTCTCGTTGTTTGAATGGACGCAAAACCACCCAGATCATCCCAGAGCCAGTCAGCTGTCAAGCTCGGAGCAGAACATGCAAACTGAAACAGCATGAGCAGCAGCAACACCAGCAGTAGGTACCTGTCAAGGAAGGCTCGTCACCAGGGCCCGAACCCGAAAGTGCCGGATGACCTGATAGAAGGCACCAGACAAAGCTGGTGAGGACCCACGCGCAGTCAGACGCTGCACAACTTCGAGACGGATTCAAACGCGGTGTTGTGCGACATCCATAGGCTGATCGGTACTGCACAGATCAGGCAAATCACATTCTGGATGTCTGTCGGCGCAAACACTGAGTGTTATGCATGTTATGCAGCTGAAAACCCATCCCTTTGCAATCCGTTTGCAGGTGAAGGGGCAGGTGCTAGCAGAGGATCGGCAGCCCATTCCTACAAACAACGGGAACTCGAGCTCAGCGGACAGGGCTATAAAGCATGATGGCAACGTGTCGATACTGCAACGAGGACTACGACGACGACCACTGGTACGTCTTCTTCTCCCAACTCCTACTGCTGCTACTAATGATGGACGGCCAGACGAGAAGCGCAAGCTCCAAAAAGATTGCATCACCGAACTGCTACCGGCCATCGGCAATATAAAACTAGGAATCTGGAGCAAGCCTTTGGGAATTAGCTGCTCGCACCCTATGGCTTTAACGTCTACCGGATTATCGTTGGTTAAAGAAGAATGGCACTTCATTTGTGTCTACTCTGCAGCCGCGTCCTGCTGAGTGAGGCGGCGCCCCAAAGCATCCTTCACACGGGCTAGTTTGGATCCAAGTCTTGAGTCTACAGGAAGCAGAATCGGAATCGGCTTCCTGTGATCTGAAAGTCTGCTGTCAACCCAGAACTCAGAATCAGGTTTCGACTAAGCTCCCACCACGACGTGTCTACCTACGAAGGTCTAGGATCCACGGGATGCCAGGCATCTGCCACTTCGAGCAACAAGACAAAAAGGGTTGGCTCTAATATGCAACAAATGCAGCTTTGGGGTTCTATAGGCTCGGATGCAACATGAGCCCACATCCCGTGAGGAACAGCAGCGCCGTGGAGTTCCTTAGTGATGAGAAGCTTAGCGTGTAGATCCTCATGTTGCGTGCACAGTGTGTCCACACACATGCCTACTCACGGCACCCTCTGCAGGCCCGCAAGCTGACATGTCGCCGCCTTCGTCTGCACCGGGCGTTTCCAGGGAGAAAGACCAGCGACGGCAGAGCGGAAGCACAGTGTCCTCCGCATGCCGACCCGAGCTCACCAAAGCCAAACAGGGCTACGGCCTTCCCCGTCCTGACTCCAGGAAATCTCTCCTGAGGCAAAGGGAGAGGCAGCAAACTTGATTTGCAATTGATGTCACTTGATGCAGGACCTTGCAGCAAAATGCACCCATAAGTGCTCCTGCACGCTTCCCTTCTCCAGCGGTGCCCAGTCGGAGAGCAGCGGCCACAACTGGCTGGTGAATCTTGCCTGAGCCGCTGGTGCTGAGCCCGGCGTCTAGTCTTGGAGTATCGGTGGTTGGTCGTACTCTCACGCTTTGACGCTACGCTTCTCCGGTTCGAGGGGGCACAAAAGACTCTTGCCCTCCTTGGACTGCAATCTGCGAAGACATGCTGACACATGGTTTCCTCTTTCTTTCGCTCTCTGTTCGGGTTCCTCTGCGAGAAGCATTTCTAGTTCAACACTGTACAGTCTCACGAAACGGCGCGGCCCATCGTTTCTCCAGGGCAGAGCCATGCCTGGCAGTAGTCTGCCGGGCCACACAAAACTTGCTTGCGAAAGCGAACACTTCAGACGGCTATGTACAGCACGCTAGGCCCATCCTGTTTCCAGGACCAGCTGCACGAGTATCTAAATTAGCATAACTTTAGCATACATACAAGTCGTTGTAAGGCTCCAGACATCAGAAGCTTCCACGGCAATCTCGGGTGTGCGCCATCTCGAAAAGCAGAACCAGAGCTCCCAAGGGCCCTGCGGTGAGTTCCAGGTCCAGTGGTCCCTTCAATTCTGCTGCATCGTGGCGTTGCAGGCTGTGCTTCTGGCATCGCAACTCCCCCTCCACGCAAAGCATGTAGGCCTGCCGGCCGGCAGCGATACTGAGGATCGGTGAGGTCTTGCCGGGCGAGATCTCTGTGCAAAAGACGTTGCAGTCTTGGTGGATGTTGATCTGCGTCGCAACGGAGGACATCTCGTCGGAGACCATATGTGCCCACTTGTCTCTACGGTCTGCAGCTGCTTCCGGGCCACCAAGGCTAGAGCCGTAGTTGGGCTTCAGGCCACGCTTGCGGGGCACGACCCAGCACTGAATGAACCGCAGGGGCTTCTTGGCCAAGTTGTGCTCGGAGTGGGAGATTCCTGTCCCAGACGTCATGAACTGAATCGCACCACGGCCCAAAGTCTCCTCGTTGCCTTTGGAGTCCTTGTGCGTAAGCTCTCCGTCCACAATGAAGGTCATGATCTGAGCGACAAGCGTTTCACTCCGGATTAGAAACAAATCTTTGCATGGCAAGAGCTCGTTTGTGGGGCCGCGATAACGTGTATGCTTAGGGGTCGATATCGGGTTTATATTATGGGCCGCGATAACGCGAAATACCAAAAACGATAACGCTATCTTTTGCTGCTTTCCAGTGCCAAAATGAACGATTGAACAAGCTCTACTCAAGTCCATGTTCCCAGCATTTTCATCATCATCCTCAGCTTAGGAAGTCTAAAGAACACTCTGGAGGCATTTGCTTTCATAGGGAGGGCTAGTGTCGCAAAGGGGTCAGACGACGGAGCCTTGATTTGCAGGTTGTGGCAGGGTGTCCACATAGTGTCGAAAACGATATCGTAACGATGACGACTTTGCAGCACAACCTGGGCTTGGCGGTCCATTGCCCTGAAGAGTTTTGGCGGAGATTTGTTGGAAAGTGGCTTACAGCGCGTGAAGTTTCGGGAGCGGGGTTTAGGCACACGGACTACACGGACTTTGGCTTGGATGCTTGAACCTTCTTCAAAACAGCCCACCCTACGAAAGCCTTTCCAGACCTCCGAAATGTGCTCCAGACCTGTAAATATAGGGTTTGTAGCAGAGTGTACCAAGTGAAGCCTCTGTCCCAATCCCGGACCGTTCAAGAATCATTTCCAAAAACGATAACCTACGTTGCTAAGCCGCGGGAATAGTCTTCAGTTTTGCTGCGCGCCTCCATGTCCCGATGCGGGTGTTCACCAAATCCTCGCTCGCCCTGCACCAGGTCATCGTTCATCACCCGCAGGACACCAAAGTTGCTGGGCCCATCGTGGTACTCTGCAAAGTTGAAGTGGAATCTCGACTTCAGCCAGTTCTGGTTTGTCCAGCCTTGAGCCTGAGCATCTGACGGATTTCGTGGATTTCCAAACCAGCGAGGGTCGGGCTCGCTGGTGAAGAGGCGGCTGTCGGTGATCACGTTCACGGAGGCCATGGTGGAGTTTCAGCAACAGTGCAAGGAACAGCAGGGGAGTGCTTGAGCCAAGACTTGGGGCTGTTATGTGCGAACTGGGTTCTACAGCACGATCATTGATTGCATCATGTACAGGTTTCGTAGAACGCATGCGCTAAGCTTTGGACAGGACTCTTCAGCAAACCGGCTCGACTTCTCAGTCAAAACCAAACTTCTCACGAAACATGGTTCGCAGCAAAACACAACTAGGTTGGTAGGAGTTGTGATAGCGGTGGTGAAGGTAGTGGTGGAAGTAGTAGTCGTCGTCGACGTCGCTGTAGCCTTAGTGGTAGCCCTTGCAGCAGCATCAGCAAATGCAGGCCAATTTGTGAAAGCAGCCGTAATTAGTAGTAGTCGTCGTAATCGTAGTCGTAAACAGCCGCGGTCGTGGTGCCAGTGTTGTTGCTGGTGGCGGTGGTAGTGATAGTCGAGCAGGAGGAGGAGTAGCACTGAAACAACAGCAGCAGCTGGTGCAGCTGTGGCGCGCATGAGCTGGAGATGTCTTGGAGGCAGTTCACAGAGTTTGGCACGAACCGCATGCAGAACTCCTCGGCTGGGGTCGCGAACTTTGGCTTCTGCAAGCACGCATCATTCTGGAGCGAAGTGCTGCTGACACTCCTGTTATTCAGTCTGAATAAAAGTCTGAATAAATACTTCTGATGAACCCGGATGAATCCGGCATTCGGTTTCTCGCCCTGTATCGGCCTGTCTAACAACCTCTGTTCGCATTGCACATCTCCGATCACTCGCTGAAGCGTCCTACTTCTTACATACACAGATTAGAATATCTCAGATCTGCTCCAAACCTGACTCTTTCCTCTGTGGACGGGCATTCTCTTTTCAGATCTCCTGAGCGGCTGTGAGCCTCATAGCAATGCGGCTGGGTTGCTGGAACCATTCAAAGGTTTAGTTTTTCTGCAAGGCTCCACGGCGTCCCCCTGAAGTTCCAGGGAGCACTCATCCAGGAAGAAGAGGAGACGCCGCCCAGAAGGCTCCTGAGCTGTCCCGCTGTCCATGCATGGCGGCATTGCGGTTCAAGTCTGGGCTGCCGAGGTTCGAAAAGGTCCTCGTGGGACATGATCAGAGCGTACAGGGCGAGCGATGTCCTCATTTTGCAAAGCTTGATCAGATCTTGATTTCAGAAAAAGATACAGATGGTTCAAAGGCTCCAAGGTTCCTCTCCAAAGCGCAAAACAAGAAGCTCCGGACTAGCTGTGGCGTCAAACAAAAGAGGCCTCGGGCTCTTACTGAGACGGTCACTGCTCCGGCGGATTTGCCCCCTTCGGGCTGTGTGGCCCTTGAAACTCTCGGAGAAGATGACAAGGCGACTCCGCTACATCGAGGGTTCAAGGAATGAGGTGCGGGAGAGGAGCGCGAGTGCTGTTATTTCGTGGACCATGCGGACTTCTACTCAACAGAAACAGACTGAAGTTGCCAGCTGCCTGGACTAAGGAAGACTTAAACGAGCTTCGAACACCAATGCCGTTATGCAGAAGCATGCCTAGCAATTGCGAGCCATGCCGGTCTCATAGGTAACAGGAGCCGGCACCACGACTGCACATGCGAACTGCCACGGCTTCATCGACAGCACGTTGCCGCCATGGCTCTCCACTGCATGATGACCCCAGTTTTGTGGAGCATGCCTCCGTTCAGGCATTGACAAGAAAATTGCACCTACGATCTACATGCCGCCGCTTAATACAGCCAAACCAGTTCGACACAGTCGCTTGAGGCCGCATGCCTCGGGCCCCATCTTGCAAAGACCTAAGAATCTAAGAACCTGGAACTCCGGATCCGCTCTGGCCGAGAGCCCTGAACCTCTCACTGCTGTCTGCACCTCATGGCCAGGTAAACAGGCACGTCAACCCACGTGGCTTCGGAGCCGGGTGCCTGTAAGCGGGATGGCGTTGAATGGGTGAGAGCCCTAGATGGCCTGGGGCTTCGGACACATGCATAGATTGCTCTTCTTGGTTAGCTCTGTAAACCACCCAAGACCCTAAGACAAAACTTCGAAACAACACGACAAATCCGTTTCGCTCCGATACAGTGTGCCGAAGCTGGACACGATTTGCCAGCCCACCTTGCGAACCCGAGGATGCCAGGCCGTGCGAACATCGCTGAACATCGACAGCCCCACGGTGAACTCCTCACCTCAGGTTAATTGAGACATGGGAGTTTCAGAAAATTCGGGTACCTTATTTTGGGGTCCTTACAATAGGGATCCTATTATTTCGACTCACACACTCGCACAAGGCAGGCATGGCAATGAGGTTCCGAGCTTGCTACGTGAACATGCTGAACAGGCGAGCAGAGAGCGAACTCCAACGTGTCCAAAATCGAATGAAATAGAACAAAC